AACCAAGATCTTGATTTCTACTACCAAGATGAAGTTATGGCTACAAGAACGTTCAATTTTTTTTAAATGAAAACTTTTTAGGAGCGTTTCGCACTTTTTATTTAGGGTGGATGAGATTGACAAGTCAGATCTCTGATGTGTAACGCTCGGGTATAGTCGACTGGAGCCGATTAATTGAAGTGTTTTTGCATATGGATTAAAATATCTCAAAAACTAAAAATCGGATCTGCATACTGTTAGAGAGGGAATCATAATCCAACAATTGTTCAGCATATAATAATAATTAGCAGAGGATTCAAAGAACATTTTGATTACAGTAAGACACTAGCGGATCCAGGATTTAATTTTGGGAAGGGGCTTCAGCCCGAAAGCAAAATGACGATACTTTTGAAAAAGAAAAAGAAACTAACTATCTATATGAAATGGTGTTTAAGTGATTTGTTAAGTCCTTTTAAATGTAATTACACGAACAATAATACTTTAAGAGATAATTTTTTAATATATTTTTCCATAAAACATGGTTATATTTTACCATTTTGCGGGAGGGAGAGGCTTCAGCCCGAAAACCGCCCCCTCCCCCTAGATCTGCCCGTGCAGTAAGACCTTGGCGGGAGGTACTTTTCGATGGAAAAACAAAATTCCAAGATCCGTTGAGTGAATAAATAAAGATACAAATTTTTGGAATTTAGTAAGAAAGAACTTATTTGACTCATTTTAATAAATTACATAACAAAACATTAGTTTGAGAATTCAGCAAAAAGGTCTGAAATTCATTAAATGATTTATAATAAGTTGCATGAATAATGTGGCAGATTTTTTATTTATATTTTAATATATATCTTGGAAACTGGTATATTTATTCGTGCCTAAACTTTAGGAATATATGGGATAACTATGTAGGAAAATAAAAACATAGAAATTTGAATAGTGACCTGATATGACACCTTGAAAATAAGAGTTTTTGGCGCTCTCAGACAACTATGCGTCGTGTTAGAGAGGCGAGAAGAGAAAAATAGAATAGAATAGAAAATAATTTTATTCTAGAATAAAGTTCCTTTAGAATAACAGAATGCTACAAAATTAATATATTACATCTGGTCTAAATAAAAACGAAAACAAAAAAGAAAAAGAAAGAGAAAAAAGTAAAGAAAACATATTATATACAAAACAAATAAATCTATATACAAATCTTGAAACTATGACAAGGCACGTAAAACTATGTACAATGGTAAAACATAAATATATACTTTTAGGAGAAAAAAATAACTTTAAAATAAACTCAGTGTTTCTGCTAAGAAAAAAGAATGCTGAAAGAATCTGATTGTAAAAATTGTCTGAGTATTTTAAATGATTTAAATTCTGTAATGGGTCATTATTCAAAATTTTATCTTAACGTGATGCTGTGTTACAGAGGCGAAAAGAGAAACAATAGTGTCAAAAACCAAATTATAACGAGTTTTATTGAAGATATGGATAAAATATATCAGAAACTAAAAATCGAATCTGCAAACTGTAAGCGAGGGAAATATTCATAATTTCATCCTATTTATAATGAGCTATTATTTATAATTTATATTTTATATTATTAATTTAGTGTGTTGATGTTTTCGCTTTTATCGTGTGGTCTAAATGTTTGACTATTCGTTGTAGTTCCATAACTGACACTATTTTTAGCAACATCAGTTTTAATCTGTTTTAATGTAACATGTTCAGAAGAACTGTTACTTAAAAGTAACCGGTGATGGATGGTCGTGACCGCTGTCATCATTTACCTCTGGGGGTGAGAGGTCTTATTCATTTATTCATTTGGCAGAAAATGACATGTTATTCACTTTTCCTTACAAAATTTTTCTTATTCACAATTCTATTTACCTTAACAAGGTGCTACCTTCACCATAAAAGAAACAAAAAATAAAAATAAATAAAACAAAGTAAAATCAAATAAAAATATAAAGAGAAATCCTGGGTTAGAGTCCACAAGTCTCACAAGCATTAAGATTCTCGTCAAAAGCTATGTAGATATTTATACAATAACTTGCTGCATCATTAATATTTTAAATATATATACCTAATATATGCAAAACTTCAATAAATTAGTTAAATTTACTTGATTAACAAAAATATTTTTAAAAATAGGATTAAAAAAAAGTAGTTTGCTGGGACACAAAGTGGACTTGGCCAGACGGGACTGCTTTCAATTGATGAGAAGTTTCACACCAAGGCCCTGATGAAGACTTTTTTTTTTTTTTTTTTTTTTTTTTTTTTTTTTTTTTTTTTGTTCTTCCCTACCTCGCCTTTTAGGCTATACGGGATTTTCCCGGGCCGGGGGGTGAGGGCGGGGAATTTAAAATCCCCTCCGGCACCGGGACGCGAACTCGTACTTTTTATATCATCTCAAATCTCTGTTATCCGGTTGCCAGGCAACTAGCGGTCACACGCTTTAGCCTATTCGGCCACCCCGCCCTCTGATTGATGAAGACCTGCAAGGTGGGTCGAAACGTCGGCTTAATAAATTAATAATACTATTTTTATAATTTAGTATTTATTTGACAGCACCCCCTCCCCCCCCCCCCTCCCCCGATCAACTCCTTCTCATATCATATCACGGTCAACCATCTCTACATCATTAATAATATAATAAATAGACATATACAATCACACGCACATGTCCAATTTCATATAAAATGTTCAATATTGACACAGTTTTGCTTATAACAGATATATTACCGAAAAAAAAAAAGGAAATGAGGGTGGTTGAGTTGCTATTAAATATGTATTATTCTGTGAATATTGTAGATGTGTATGCGGCTGTATGTAGGTATGTGTATGTATGAGTACACCCGCATACACATCTACAATATTCACAGAATAATACATATTTATAGCAACCCTCATTTCCTTTTTTTCGGTAATATATCTCTTATAAGTACAACTGTGATTCAATATTGAACATTTTAAATGAAATCGGATTAAAATTTAAATTATTATAACATAGAAGTTCCGAAAAAAAAAATCGATTAGAGGTGATGAATATATATCCCATCAAAATAACAAGTATCGCATAAATTATTTCTTAGCATTTTCAGCGGGGTAACATTTTATGCCAACCGTGATAATTCAAGTTCGAACCCTTCAGAACTGTTGATGTTATCTGATACAATTTCTCTTTGTCAGTCCCAATCCTTGAAGGTCTGACTATTTTCAGCAACATCGGTTTTAATCTGTTTTAATGATCAGAAGAACTGTTACTTAAAGTAACCGGTGATGGATGGCCGTGACTGTGATTTACCTCTGGGGTGAGAGGTCTTACATGCGTAGTCTCCTCTTAGCTCTCTTTCCAGCACATCCTCACTCAGGAACTTCAAAAAATTAAGCCATGTTATATTTTTTAATACCTTTCTGTTTGCTTCATTTCGTCCACTCACAACAAGGTATATAGTCCATATTTAAAATTTTATTAAATTTATTTATGAATTTTAAATAGGGTGAACGCGCCAGTAATGGACAGGTTGGACTTCAAATGTAAATAATAAGCTTCCATGTTCATTTAAACGTTCTAGTTTTTCCTATATTGAAAAACAATGCCCTCTGTTGACAACAGTATGAACAAAGTTCCCAAAAGAAAATATTAAAATGCTCTATTATTATTGTTTCTATAGTGCTCTTGAGATCAGTGTATTTCATTCCTTAATACTAAAAGTTTTTATAAGAGAAGTTGAACATTTATCTTATCTTTATAGTTAAATAAATATTTTTAAATTTTTCTGAGGTATGTCCATTACTGGTACCGACCCCCCTGTCCATTACTAGAACAATTGAATTTCGGGGTGTTCATCACTAGAACAACGAGGTGTTTTTTTTTTTAAATGGAGATTATACCTGCATAACTGAATATTTTTTTCAATCTAGAGATTGTAAATGTCCAACGGAGAAGTTTACAGCTATAATAATTACGGAGGCATAGGCAAAAAAAGACAAAACTTTTCTTAGCTATGTCCATCACTGGTGCGCTTAACCTAAATGTAAATTATTTTGAAAATATATCGCATCAAAAACCATTGACGTTTTAGCAATACCAAATGGATGATTCTCACTTTAGGGGAAACTTTTACGTGATTAGTTAAGTCTAACTTGATTTTTTTTCCCACTGCTATACGGTGAAAAAGTATTTCTTCATAATGAAATATTAAAAATTAAAATATTAAAGAATATTGTGATTTTATAATTACTTAAGCTACTAAAATGTCATTACCACGTATTGTTCCACTCTCAGTTTTACAGCTAACAATTTTTTTTTCTTTCCAAACCTGTGTAAAATTTCCACTCCTAAAGAATAATTAAGGCATTTTGAATTATATATATTTTTTAACTTTTGTCAACAATGAAGTATGTTTATGCATTTTCGAACATTATCCCATCACTTTAATGTCATTACCAAACAAAAAACATAACATGAGATATTTAATCATTGAAAAGAGGGAACAGTGGGGAAATATCTTCATAGTGTAGTAGCAGCCATGGAGTTAAAGGACAGCCACCAGCGGATGGACAGACCAGTTAGACTCGATCTACGTATCTGTTTCTTGTACGTTGAGAACGTACCTTTAGTGTTGTCATTACCACCGCGTATATTATCTAGCTACCTGTCCAAATTATTTCATTTATTATAATTCAGGTTTGACTATGGTTTGTATCAAGTCAGTTGGAAAAAACTGAAATTATAATAACTAGTTACACATTGGTTTTGGCCAAATAAAATACGTGAAAATGTCATTACCAAGTCGAAAACTCGTTTGATTCCCACAGCCGAATTATTAGCTGTACTTACTTTAATTACCGATCAAAAAGCGCTTATGATCTTGGCCATTTGAAATAGAAAACATTTTCAATCAATTTTTTAACTTTTTAGCTTTTATAATGTGAAGTGTATTAGATACAGATAACCATAATAGTATTAATAATTTTATTCAAAACTAAATTAATTTATTGTTTTTGTTTTCAGATGTTTTGAACTCAATACTACAAGTACGTAACATTTTTATTTTATATTTTACTAACATAAGATAAAACTCTAATATTGGCTATTAAACACTAACTGGATAATTTGTACAGTATATTGTTCAGTGATCAAATAATAAATTAATATGAAAATAAAATAATACAACGTATAATAAATGAAATCAATAGTTACTTCCTCGCTAAATATAATCGACAAAGCAAACAAAAATTAATTTAAAACTTCTTTAAGTTTGTTTGGACTTATTGAGGGGTTAGAAAAAAAAAAAATGTTTGGAACCAAAATTGTTACAAATTTCAATAAGCTGTATTTTTTATAATAATTGTCCAATTTCGATGATTTTTTTTTCCTTTTGTAGAGAATTTAGTAACCTTTTATATTATTGTTGACATAGCCATAAGAGAAAAGTGTTTAATTTTTAAGTTATTAGCAAATAAAGAGGCCTCAAGTCGACGAAATGAGACATGTATTCCATGAAAGTACTACAATTAACGTAAGGTTGTGTGGATGAGATTCCTTTGCCTTGCATTATCTCGAAAATCTCCGATAGTTTCAAAGGAACTATCCGGGTCTTGCTGTACGCATCAAAATCTTCAAAGCCCAATTTGTCCCGTATCGATCTACAGACCTACCACCGTTCCAGTATTGAAGCCTAGCAAAATGTTTGTATCGACTTTATTTATTTTAGAAAGAAAAACAAAAGCGGAGAGTACGATTCGCTAATCCCCCCGTGAAATTCTGAATCCAACGGTACCCCATTCATGGTATTTGATCATGATAGGAGCTTATATTTGGTACAAAACCGATTTCGAGCCTTACTGTAATAATACATGTAGAGATATCATGCCGATTTGTCAATAATGTTCTCTACGTTCCTAATAATAATTTAATATATCGTTTTTGTTGTTTGAAAGTAACTATGCAATGATTTTGTTTCATATTATGTATTTAAATAATTGAAAATAAACTTGGAAATCTATACCACTATAACAAATAATCTCTAGAGGATGTTGGAAAAATATAATTATTTTGCTGTTTAATTTATTTGTATTTATTGTACATATAGTGTGAATGTGCTCTCTGAACACTATTATAAATGCCCTTAATTGAGACAGATTGTAATATTTCATGATAAACAAGTTCTAAAAAAAACAAAAAATACTTTTTATGAATTTATTAATTACGAATTAGTTAAGACATGATATTTTTATTAACAAAATGAATAAAGAGAATTCTCTAAAATACTTTAATTTAAGCTAAATATAACAAATGGAATTAATAATACATTTATTTCTTTTATATTTCCATAGGACAGTGCTATAGTTCTTATCGATGAAGAAGAATCCAATGGACTAGTAGATGGCGCTCAGCTCGGAGAGCCAAAAAGTAGGTTAATAAAAAAACATTATATTAAAAAATAATTATATCTGCTCTTCAACATCTTAAGTAAGTTGCTAATTTAAATCAGTAATATAAACCTGTTTTATGTTGTTTAGTATAAACAATCACATTTTAGTTTTAATTTACCGCAAGAATATTCTTTATATTTTATTCCGAGAGGGGGGAGGTGATGCAAATAGAATAGAAAAAATATTATTCTGAGACGTCACTTAAAAATAACATATGGCCAAAAACAAATAGAAGAGTAAACAAATAAAAATCATTATATAAAAAGAAAAATAATTCTTATAAACTAATATAAAAATGAGTTTGTAATAATAAAAAAAAAAAAAATTAAAGGATATTAGCTTTGCAGCAAAGGAAAATATTTAGAGCACCATATCTTTGCAACAAATCGCTCGATTTCAACGACTTTTATTTTCTTCTTTTTTTTTTTTAAATTTCGAAAACTTTAAAATGACCAAAGGTACAATACTACAAAAAGGTATACACTTTTAATTATTAAGAATTATTCGAAAATCTAATTTTACCACCTCTCGTAACTTTTTTTTGTATTTTTTTTCCGATGAAGTACGTTATATAGATAAATTAAAGTTCCAAAGATGAAAATCCTTTCCATATGGTGGAATTGCAAGGGTGTTATTTTCAATGAGCTATTGCCATCTAGACAAACAATTGATTCAACTCAAAACTGCTTACAATAAAGAAAATTGGATCAATAAATTAATCAAGAACTGACAAATCGGATGAGTGTTGTGTTCCACACCTCATTGGTCACTCACAATAAATTATTGAGCCTTGAATGGGACCTTTTGCCACACCCTCCCTATTTAACATACCTTGCTCCAAGTGACTACCGCTTCTCTGCAGAACTCCATGAATGGAAAGAAATTCCAAAAGGAAAAGGATACCAAAAACCACTTGCATCAGTTTTTTAACAATAAACTCTAGACATTCTATGAAAATGGCATTATGCTGTTAGTGGAAAGATGGGGAATATATTAAATAATGGTCGCCCACAGGTCAAAATGAAAAGAAAGACTTTGAACAAACGACTGAGAATACTATACTCTCTGTTTTCTAAATCAAAATTGAAAATTAAACAAAAACTAAATACATACACTTACCTGCTCAAACCCATGTGGACATACGGCTCACAGATTTACGGTTCAGAAAAAAAGACTCACTTACAAAAACTACAATCTTTTCAATCTAAAATTTTAAGACTAATAACTGCAGCTCCCTGGTATGTCAACAACAAGACTTTACATACCGACCTAAGACAACCAACCATTGACCAGCACATACGTACTCTCTACTCCCGATTTCATCTTAAACTGCACGGACATCGCAATAGACTTATCGACGACATGGCCACGGCTAAAATGCTCATCAGGAGGCGACTGAAAAGGAGCTGGATGAGAGATCTCCTTTCCTGATTTTCGGATGTAAACAGGCCAGTGAAGAGGTGCTGCTGGGTTCCATTCTTCGTCATACCTATCATGCCATTTTCTACCTATCATCATATACAATCTATTAATTGTCACTACCATGACAGGTGCGGATCAAGAATTGAAAACAAAAAAATAAAAAAAATAATGGTCAATATATTGTAGATTAAAATAAATTTAATGTATATAATACATTGAGTTTTATTTCACCCTGAAAAACCGAAAGGAATTGTTTGCCAACCCAATATAATTGTATGGAAATAATAAATCATTGAGTAATAATTTGCAGCTTTTTTGGTTTATTATTTTCAATAATCAACCATTGTGATCGACCAAAAAATTCGAAAACTTAACCTCTTCTCAAAATTTGAGGTTTCACGTTTCAGGATGCGTAGAATGGTTTTTTAAAAGTTTACGAAATTTCCTAAAAACCAAAAAAAAAACTCGTTAAAATTGGACAATCAGGAGCAAAGATATGGTCTCCGGTTTTTTTTTTAATATGTTCAACTCCAAATGTTATATCCTTTGTTTGGTTTTAAATTTTGAATATGTCACTGATGTAATTCTATTTTTTTAAGGATATTACCAACGATTAAAAAAAAAAAGTTTAGTCCAATAATTGGAATCACCTTTTATTTATTTGTCTTTGTAACTATGAAGGTAATGTTACTTTAGATGTATAATCGTCTGGAAATAATAAACCATTGTGGAATAATTTGAAGCGCTTTTTTTTAAATTTATTAAGTGTGTTTTGGTTTTCAGTCTGTGGCTATTCAAGTAAGAGTCAGGCCGAATTGAACCAAAATGGAAGAGCCGTGGCTGGGATTCGGGACTGGCCTTGGATTGCTGTCCTGTATACTCCTTCGAACATGACAGAGCACATTGGTGGCGGAGTGGTCATAACTCACAGGCACATTTTAACTGCAGCACATCTTTTTAAAGAGTACGTGTTTATTTTATTCAAGTGTTGCTCATTGTCTTAAAATGTAGATTTATACTTTATTTTTAAATGTTTGAAGTTTCTCATTTTTAATCCACTTAAATAAATAATGTGGTGCGATGCGCGCATCATACAACTGTCACTTCTGCATCTTCTTCTCTCTTAAAACCATTTTCCTCTCGGTGCGAAGGTGCTTCCAGACATCGGTTCCAGGCATCCCTGTTCTCTGCAAGATTCCCCTTCTCATCCAGGGTCTTCCCTCTTCGTATTCTAATTCGTTCCAGATGGCTAGGGTATAAGGTTCTTGGTCATCCTCTCGGTCTTCTCCACACCGGCTTCACCTCTAGGTTTTTAACTGGATCTCTGAGGAGGTCCATCCGGTAGACATGCCCACACCACTTCAGCTGTATCCTTAGGGCGTATCTTTAGCTCCTCCCTGATCCTGTTATTTTTTTTTTAATAATAATATTAATTTATTTATTCTGGGACGAGTCCCTTTAGAATAATACAGGAAGATAGAAATGTGGGCTAAGGAGCCTCAGAGATACATAAATAAAAATACAGAGTAATTGAACAGTCTTGGTGAAAAAAATAATATATATTAGTGACAAACCAGAGAGCTGCATTTATTAGTCTTAAAATTTTAGATTGAAAAGATTGTAGTTTTTGTAAGTGAGTCTTTTTCTCTGAACCGTAAATCTGTGAGCCGTATGTCCAAATGGGTTTGAGTAGGTAAGTGTATGTATTTAATTTTTGTCTAATTTTCATTTTTGATTTAGAAAATAGTGAGTTTAGTATTTTCAGTCGCTTGTTCAAAGTCTATATATATATATATATGTGTGTGTGTGTGTGTGTGTATATATATATATATATATATATATATATATATATATATATATATATGCGTGTGTATATATATACACACATTTATACACACACATATATATATACACACACACACATATATATATATACCAAATACAATAAAGAAACTTATAATCCAATGTGAGAGAATATTGTTTTGAAAAGGAAAAAATATTCTCTCACATTGGATTATAAGTTTCTTATATCTGAAGATTCATTTTCGATCTGATCAAACATATATCCCTTTTTATCCTTTTTTTCATTATTATTAACAATGAGAGATAGTTAATTATGTAAAATAAATCAAATCAAAGGTACTTCAGAGGAAGAAATATATATATATATATATATATACACACACACACACACACACACACATATGCATATAAGTTGCTTTCCAATTTTGATCAGTTGATAATACAAAAAATAAAAAAATAGATAAAAAAAATTGGGATACAAATAATGAAGAACGAACTAATATTTTATGTACATATTTACAGTAGTATCTATATAAAATGGTAAAAAATAAATAATTTTATTTATTTTTACATTCGACGTCGTTTCGGCCCAAAGTTTAGGCCTTCATCAGTGCTGAGAAAAGAACCAGATAACAATAGGTATAATAACATTGAATAATACAGAATTAAGATTAAAAATCTGGTACGCGCAACACTCATCTTTCACTTACCGCTCTACTTTGAATATAAATGATTTTCTGGCAATGCTGGGCTGTTATAAAATTTTTTGAAGTGCATTTTAATCGGAGCTAAAGCTTAAAGCTTACAGATAACAAGTCATTAAGATCATTGTAATTACAAAATGTCTATTTAATATATTGACGACAGGCAATAAAAATCTAGTCACTCCATCTGCTTTTATAAACCACACAACTTTCTTTGCTTCTATAAACCACAGAATGACTAACTCCAATTTCAACATTTTTGAGTAATGTCGATTTAGTGATATTTTTAGTTGAAAAAGTTAGGTACTTATTTCTTATGAAAGATGTTCTGAGGTAAGATACTTTATTAAATATCTGTAGAAAAAAAGTTTTTTTAGTTTCAACAATTAAAAAAGAATATTTTAAATTTATACAAATTTTCGCTTCTTCGGAGGAAAAAACTAGAGACCATATCTTTCCTCCTAATTGTCCGATTTTAACGCTTTTTTTTTGTTTTTTTTTTTTTTTTAGGAAATTCCATAAATCTTTAAAAAACAATACCACAAAAATTCGGAATTTAATTTTACCATCCCTCGTAACTTTTTTTCCAGGTTCTTTTCGTTGAAGTATGTTATATAGATAAATTTAAAGGGTGTCGAGAAAATGACTTTAGCGAAGTTTCATTGAAATCGGTACATTCGTTTAGGCGCTACAGTCTATAGCAACCCAGGTTTTTCTGCATTTTTATTTCTTTTCTCCTTTATTAACTTATCAAATTCCTTCAAAAGTTATATGTAGCAATTTTTCGTAAATATGAATAATACGAAATGATCAACTTTTTAAAATAAACCATATTAAAGGTACTTTAGAGGAAGACATATATGAATATTGGACATTTAAGCTCTGTAAAGTGACATCAACGGGGATAAGACCTAAATGATATTTAAGACCACTTAATTATACAATGATACACTGAGTTTAATCAAAATCGTTAGAGCCATTTTTTAGAAAATTGTAAAAATGTGTTTCAGCGTTCATATAAAGTGGCACTTCCGGTTAGCCGATTTTAACGAAAAATTGACTGTCACATCCGGCTCATATACAAACCTTAAATACTTAATATCAGTTTCGTCTTACTTTTCGTTTATGAGCTAGACTGTTAACACACACACACAGACCATTTTGCGACACTTGGTTATTTGGACTCAGGGGACCTCAAAACATGTATTTCCGTTGAAAACTGAGATTCGAAAATTTTCACGATCGCAATACGTACGCTTACTATACATTACATATATACGTAAGTGAAAGTAATACGCATTCAAAATTAACACGTTAGCTGCAGTTACGGTCCTCGCCGACTATAAGTTGATGATGATTATTTGCAATTGTGGATTTATGGTTGACTGTAGTGAATAATTGAAGGGAATGATGGTTGGTGTGATCAGTCAAATTAATATGGTAAAAAATAAATAATTTTATTTATTTTTACATTCCCCGACGTTTCGGTCCAAAGTTCAGGCCTTCATCAGGGCAGTTCATAACATTGAATACTACAGAATCAAGATTAAAAAGCTGATAGGTATAGACTAATAATTATACATTAAGTAGTTCTATTAAAAATTATTAGTCTATACCTATCACCTTTTTAATCTTAATTCTGTATTATTCAATGTTATTATACCTATTGTTATCTGGTTCTTTTCACAGTCCTGATGAAGGCCTGAACTTCGGACCGAAACGTTGGAGAATGTAAAAATAAATAAAATTATCTATTTTTTACCATTTTAATTTGACTGATCACCCCAACCATCCTCTTCAATAATCATTTACGTTTGTATCTATCTTTTCATCTATCCAACTACCATTTAAATGTTTTTAAAAATTACAATTTTAGAGACTTCGTAAGAAAGGCCAAATTCGAGACGAATATCAGAGCCTGGACACCATAACCGCAGCTAACGTGTTAAATATATTGATTTATTATTTTAAATAATCAACCATTGTGATCGACCAAAAAATTCAAAAACTTAACTCGCTTTCAAAATTTGAGGTTTCACGTTTCAGGATGCGTAGAATTCGAAAAACGAATAATTTTTTTTTTTGTCCGTCCGCCGTCCGCGCATTTTCTCCGAAACTACTGGACCGATTTTTTTCAAATTTTTATATAAAATCAGAGGTCACCCGAGGATGATCCTCCTTCATCGACATTATTATCCGCCTTTTACTATAGACTGTAGCGCCTTAATGAATGTACCGATTTCAATGTAACTTCGCTGAAGTCATTTTCTCTACGCCCTTTAAATTTATCTGTATAACATACTTCAACGAAAAAAAGCTGGACAAAAAGTTACGAGGGATTTGAAATTAAATTCCGAATTTTTGTGGTATTGTTTTTTTAAAGTTTATAAAATTTCCTAAAAAAGATCGTTAAAATCGGACAATTAGGAGCAAAGATATGATCTCCGGTTTTTTTTATATGTTCTACTCCAAATGTTATATACTTTGTTTGGTTTTTAAATTTTGAATGTGTTACTTAAGTAATGCTTTTTTTTTTTTAGCATATTACTAACGATTAAAAAAAACAAGTTTTGTCCAATAATTGGAATCACCTTTTGTTTATTTTTCTTTGTAACTCGGAAGGTAATGTTACTTTAGATGTATAATTGTTTGGAAATAATAAACCATTGTGAAATAATTTGCAGCATTTTTTTTCTTTTTAGGAGACCCAAAGAATATGCAGTGGTACGACTGGGAGAGTACGATTTCGACAGGAAAAGAGAATCCAGAAGTATGGACTATAAAATACTGGATTTGCGAAAACATGAGGATTACGAAGCAGCTTCTCATCATAATGACATAGCAATATTGAAGCTTGACAGAAGGATTGAGTACAATGTCCATGTTCAACCAATATGTCTCCCTTCAAAACAAAATGACTACACGAACACGTTTGGTGTTGTAGCAGGTAATAAGTTATTTAGTTTTAATTTATTGTATATATATATATATATATATATATATATATATATATATATATATATATATATATATATATATATATATATATATATATATATAATTTTTTTCCCTATGTGGTAACCCCATACAAGGGTAGTTTATTTGATTCACCTTCATGCTCCGTGCCTTGAAGACATATTACATGAATTACAATTGTTTACATAATTTTCTTTTATAGTTTTACATGATATAAATTTTTAGTTCAAATTTATATATATTAACAAAAAAAAACATAAAGAATAAACACACAAAAATTATAATAAATTGGAACCAAGCATATTAAACACAGAAAGTCAATTCAACAAAGCCAACAAGAAATCACCCACGCTGCCCATCTCTGGTTACTAAGTCGAAGTCGATAGATCTAATAAATCTAAGAAAGTCTGTCTTGAATTCAATAAATAACTTTTGTTCCTTCTCAGGCCAATTTCCACTTTTGATAACTATGCTTTTTATCAACTCAAATCGCTATCTGTCAAATCGACTACATTCATATATTATATTTTTAAAATTTTGAACCTGCCCGTCTTCACCCCATAAGTCTGTTTGTATAATGTTGAATCTTTTAAGATATTGTTTTGTATTCCCATGTTCCGTAAGTACTTGCGTAAGTTTGTAGTCATTAGTTTGAATGTGTCTGTAATTGTGAATTGAAATGTGTGGTATAAATCTGTGTAAGCTTGGTGACTTAGCTGAGGTCACCCATATGTGATCCCATCTTTTGATAAAATCCAACTTTAAATTCATCTTAATATACGATAAAGGAGCTTGATGATACGATGGCGGCAAATCGCTTTTAGCTGCTTCTTTTGCAAGTTAATCGGCTCGTTCATTGCCCTCAATCCCACAATGTGCTTTTACCCATACATATATATACATATATATGTATATATATATATATATATATATATATATATATATATATATATATATATATATATATATGAGGGCTGGGGTAGTCTTGCGGGCTAAGGCGCTTGCAATAGGTAATTAAAGTTAAGCAACGCCGAGCGTGGATGGGTGACCGTCCACCAAGGAAAGCCACGCTGCCCGAGATTCCTCCCCGAGTATGTGAGGCCCGTCAGACTACTGGAGGCAACTCACACCGACCGGGTGTAGGATTGATGACCCTACCACGTACTTTAAATCGGGGTGTATTCAAGTACAATTGTTCTGTAGACACTTCAATCTATAAATATTATGACTATTGGATATAAACGATTTTTTTTTTTGTCGAATTTCGAAATAGTCATATCTATATTTTTAAACATTTTTTTTTTTTTAACGTAGCAGAGAAACTGTTGCAACTGCTTATGTTAAACAGTTTTGCCCATCACATTTGCTTAGTACGTTATGATGCAGTGGAAAACATAATGTAAAATATGTAATTTTCATATATGTTTATTACATTAATTTATGTTTAGTAATTTATAGTTACCTAATCCATATATTTGAAAAAAAAAGTGGGATAATCTTGTTTATTAAGTCTGTTAACTTTGTTTAGGATGGGGACAGATTCAATTCAAAGGCACCTACTCAAAAGTACTCTTAGAAGTATCACTCCCAATTTGGGAGCATGAAAAATGTCAGCACCGATTTATAGAACCAATTTTCTGCACCAACATTTGTGCCGGCTTTGAAGAAGGTGGCAAGGATTCCTGTACGGTAAATAGTTACTCATTTAAATAAATTAAAGCAGAATTTTGACTCTTTGGTATATATCAGTTCCCATGATTTATTTTTTTACTTCACACAATATAAAATCAGAACAGTATGTCACTATTAATTAACTATCGAGGTATCAATAGAAAGGGAATGTCACGTAGAATGCGTGAATCGTAATTTTGATTCATAATTTTATACTAGGACTTAAATATAAGTAAATGTAAAAGAGGGAGGTTTCAAACCATGTGATGGTGCCATATCAATCTGAATGAATCCAGGCGTTACGAATGAATTCATAATTTGAAGTACAGATTTTATACATATCAGTATTTGATAAGACAGAGAAATAGACTTGCATCGACTCAGAGGACAGCTCTACTTCCGGTCACCAGAGCTTATAAGTGTACGTCGCATGAAGCAGTGCAGGTCCTAGCGGGGGTGGCGCCTCTCAACTTCCTCCAGCAAGAAGAAGTGACCAGGCATAATTACAAGAGCGAGGGCTCAGCAGGTCTTCGGAGAGCCTACGGATGAGGATCATTGAAAACCCTATACTTCTTCACTAGGAGGCCGGGACTGACTGCTATCTGCCAATGTTTATAACCTCAACACTGATAATTCTGATAAGCAGTGATAAGCCTTCTCGTAATTCCTATCTTCGTATTATTGTATTATATTCGTATTATTGAAAGTGTAAACAGAAACAAAAACAAATGTAATAACAAAAAAAAACTTTTATTTTACGACACATATATTAATGAAATGATAAAAAAAACACTTAAAAACATATGTAGATATAAAAGATCAAAATGAAATAATAAAAAAACATTTCCCCTTCTTTGTGAACCCGCCGCCACAAAAATTCGCATAAATATGAAGTTTTATGTCACAAGTGCTACGACAGCATCTCCATTTGGCGTTCCTGATTAACTTCATTTGATGACCTCCTTCACACAATTTCACGTCTGCAAGTATCCCAACGTTTTGAATATATTCAATAGCCTGTTCGTTCTTCTGAAGACGATAAATCCTAGAATGTAACACGATTCATAATTTGACGAAAATAAACCTTAAAAAAATGGAAAATAAACACAAACGGGCTAAAAATAAAGAATTTAATAAGGGAATAAATGAAAAATAAACAATGTAATAATTGATAGGTTTGGCGGGATGAGAAGAGGAAGGTTATATGAAGTGACGTTAGATAACATAAATAAGAAGTGAGGTTTCAACCCGGCCTGCTAGTGAAGTAGTACCGAAAACCCTAATAAATGGAAAAAGATAATCCGGGAGGAAACACTTGAAGAGTGGAACAGACGGTGGGTGTCTACTCGGAAAGGGAGTACCTCAAGAAAATACTGCCCCACCGTCCGATAAGGATTAAAAGCGAAATGGATCCTCTCGTCCTATTGGGTCTCACAAATCTTCGGGGTCATGAGGGCTTTAGAGCAAAACTACAAGGTCTCGGGCAGGATATAGATCCCAACTATCCCACTTTTGGTGTTCCGGAGACTGTTGAGCATGTGGTCACGGCCTGCACTGTATTTGACGGATTATTTAAGTAATTAAACATGGCTCCATAGTAAATTAGATAACATTTAATTTAAACGAAAGTAGAGTTTGTCATTGTTAAAACTATGTGTGCACAGCTGTGAGTTTTGTAGACTGTTATCATTGCAGTAGTATTATGCCTGAAGGCATGAACTTCAGGTCGAAACGTCGGCATATGTAAAAATAAATATTATCATTTATTTTTGCCTTCTTTTTTGACTGACCACCCCAACTATTCTTCTCTTCATGTATATTGTTAATGCATTAAAATCAGATTCTAACTTTGCTCCTCCCCCTAATATTTCCTACTTGCCTATGCTCACTTTAACCAAAATGTACAAATAAATATAATACATAATAAATAAACATTACTTTCAGGGTGATTCAGGAGGTCCTCTGGTGCAACAGAGGGAGGACGGGAGGTGGACGATAATTGGAGTAGTGTCCTGGGGAGATGGGTGTGCAAAGCCGCAGAAACCTGGGATATACACAACTGTCAACAAGTTCTTGGACTGGATAGCGGAGAGGATACAAGATGTCGATGGAGGGGACGATCCGCCCCTGGAAGATGGTGCGATCAGCACAGCGCTCCAACCACCTGCTATACAAGACCAAGACCAAGACCAAGACCAATCTGGAGGAAGATTCTCATTTTAAGGGTCGAGTCGAATCAGATACTACAGTTCTCAACGCTACATACTTCACTTCACTAATTCTCCATTAGGAAAGAGTACACTGCCATGCTAGGCATTAATAATAAAAATAGTTAATTTTAGTTTGTGATAAAATTCAATAATTTAAATATAATTTGAATATTTTTTGTTATTTTTACATTATTTATAGACCACGTCCACTGCACGTTATGTATTTGTATGCATTTTATGAATTAGGTTAGGAAGAGAGAGGAGAGAATTTAGGGAATGAGAAAAATGTATAACTGGAGAAAAGGAAGAGAAAGGGATATATAATGCTAATAAATAAATGAAATAAATAGTAAAAATAAAAAAAATAAAAATATATATAGAGAGAAAAAAAAATAAAAAAAAAATGTCTGTAGCGATTAATAATTATGCTGTGTTGAAGCAACCCAATGTAATTTGTATGTATGTATGCGCAGCACTCTTTTATGATAATAAAGTGATTCTCTCTTTCTATATTTCCATCATAAGCTTGAGTATAATTTTTTTTCCTATAAACCTCTTCCTTCATGCAATCAAAATATATATGCATATAGGGTGTCCCGTAAACAATAAACAATATACATATAAATAAACAATTGCCCAATATAAACAATATACAATTGCTCGATATAAACAATTGCCCAATTTACAGCAGAAAAATAGGAAATTTAAGAATTCTTTTTACTTTCCTACCTATACTATGTGAGGAAAGTATTGCGATCTCGCCAAATTTCCGATAAGCGGTTTTCGACGGATCTATACTTTTCAGAGTCCAAGAAAACACATTTTTGGCCATTGTTCTGTGTGTGTCAAGATTTTCTCGGGAACTAGAGAACCGATTTTGTTGCTTCTTTATTTATTATGTAGTGTTTTGACTACTGATACCTGTGGCACAAATTGGGCAATAGCTGCTGTGCAATAAATGAAAAACATATTTTTTCTATAGACTGTAGCGCTAAAACGGATCTAACAATTTTGATGAAACTTTTCAATAATGTGCTAATAATTGTCCTTTCAATTTTCGTATATGGACTAAATTCCTGAGAAAATTCAGGAAAAAAAGTTTTAAAGAAAAGAAAAATGTTTAGGGGCCTAACGCGCTAAGTATATAATCTATGGTAAAATTCCTTACAAAGCCATATAAATATCGTTCTTTTCGGACAAATATTAACGAACTTACAGCTATTTAATTTCCAATGTAACATTACGGGTTCATATCCTGGTGTCAGAAAGGTGTGAATGAGAGAAAAAAGATAACTAAGTGAAAGAAAGGAAGTCTGTTGCGCGCATCACACAAGCTTCACTATTTCCTCTACTTTTAACAGAAATTATTGTTTGACAAAATTAGACTATGGCAAAAAGTTTTTGATCAGCAATATTAGAGGGTATTGAAATTTTTACACTTATCTACCTTAAGCCGGTTTACATTGCTTTAGTTTATCGAATAAATCGAACTCAATTCTTTTCTTTAATCAATTTTCAGGAAAATAAATATAATTCAATTTTTTTTTTCTTGATGAACATATGTAGAGATATAAAAACATTTTTGAAATAGGCAGGAAAGTCGTGTGAGAGAACATACCAGATTTTTTTTAAGTGAGTCACGATTTTTTTTTTAATACTATAAATAACATAAAAAATATTTAATTTAAGTAACTAAACATTGCTCTGACATTGAGTTTTTAAGCCTAGAATTCAAACATGTAAGAAAGAAGGAACACTGCTTACAATAAGCCGGATACCGCTCAACTTTGAAGAGAAATTATTTTCTGGTCATTATGGGCTATTGTAAAATTTTTTAACTGAGCTAAAGCTAAAAGAGTGCACCTAACATATCATAAATACTATTAAAATAATAAAAGTCTTATATATTATATCACCGGTTGATTATGGATTGCACGATTCGTTGATTATGGATTGTACGACTATTAGTTATTAAACTTCATTTTCCATTGCAAAGTTTATTAAAACAGAAGATTCAGATATTTGTATTGTCTTTCATAGACAGGTCAAAAGTTGTCACACTAATTATAAGTGGATTCTGTTGGAATATCGCAAAGGGCAAACTTATCAAATTATTCACTAATTTAATTTTCTAAAAGGTTATATAATGATTTTTCGAAATAAACGGACGATAGATACCTGATTATTTAAATATATTATCAGATCTAGAGGTATTAAACTACAGTAAACATATTTAAGGTTATAAACGTATCCATGAAATATTTTTATATTTCACTCCTTTCACACAAGTACAATGAAATAGTATCTTAAATAATGTCATTGCCTTGAATCCGTAGGTTTTAAATACTTTTTCAAACTTTAAAAAAAATTTTAAAGTTTACATTTAGTAAGAAAATTTCATTTAATTTCCTTGAACACATGTTGTTATTTATATTTTTTCGCCTCTCTTCATTACCTTCTACAACTTTGTATACTGGATATTGTTTTTTCTGAAATTCTTCGCTTTCCAACGATATATTATACATATACCTGCTAACCAGTATTTTCGGAGATTCATTTTCGACCTGGATAAGCATTTTTATTTTTTTTCTCCTTTATTCAATTATCAAATTCTTTCAAAAGTTGTATTTAGCATTTTTTCGTAACTTTTAATAATAAGAGATAGTTGATTATTTAAAATAAACCATATTAAAGGTACTTTAGAGGAAGACGCATATGGACATTGGACATTTAAGCCCTGTAAAGTGACATCAATGAGGATAAGACCTAAATGAAATTAAAGGCCACTTAATTATACAATGATATACAGAGTTTAATCAAAATCATTAGAGCCATTTTTGAGAAAATTGTAACAATGTGTTTCAGCGTTGATATAAAAATGGCACTTCCGGTTAGTCGATTTTAAGGAAAAAGTTGCCAGGACATCTAAGGCATATACCTATCTTAAATACTTAATATCAGTTTAGTACGACTTTTAGGTTTCGAGCTAGAGTGTTCACATATACACAGACACACAGACCATTTTTCGGGACTTGGTTATTTAGAATCGTGTATTTCCGTTGAAAATTCAGATTCAAAAATTTTCACGATGGCAATACTTACACTTACTATATATTACATAAATAGGTAAGTGAAAGTAAAAAGTTTCAATTTAAAGGCCATCAATTTACCATTCAGTTTTTAGATTTGGGTACTTACCGCTTAATCAATCCCACCATTGATAGATTGCCGATGCTCATCAATTATCTCAACGCTGTTTAGGAGCTTGCCTAATGTTACATCGATGAGTTTAGGAACGGTCTAATGAATTTTCGATGCTCCTAAATGATCTCAGCGCTGACTTGCCTTTACCATCAAACTACTGAGTTAGTTAGGCAGGGTTAATAGTTTATCATAGTGCGAAGAGATAAAATCCGTTACAATTAACAGCTTATACCTTATACTATTTAGATAACCATTAAAAACATCAAGTAATATATAAGATATCTTTATCAAAAATATTTTAATTTAAAATAAAAATGTTTGTTATTAATCTTGCAAAAAAGGCATGGACGGATCTACGGTAGAAGGGGCTTTGGAGTTGAAGCCGCCCTCCTTCCCTTCCCCCCCTCCCCCCCCCAAAATGGTAAAATATAATCATGTTTTATGGAAACAAAAATTAAAAAATTATCTCTTAAAATAGTATTGTTTGTGTAATTACATTTAAAAGGACTTTAGAAATCACTTAAACACCATTTCATATAAGTGGTTTCTTTATTTTTTTCCAAAGTAATTATCGTTATTTTTATGAAAAAAAAAAAGTTTTAGGGCTGAAGCCCCCCAAAAGAAATCAATTCCTGGATCCGCTAGTGAAACAAGGTAAATATTAAAAGAAATAAAGATAAGCAGCAAAATGTTTTGTTTTTTTACATTACATCATCTTTTCGTCATATTAAAACGTTACACAACACATATGTACATAGTTTAAAATAAGTGTTATTTTGTTATGAATCTAATTTAAAATATTACCTTATTTCACTATCTGTAATTTCTGAATGCTGTTATTAACATATCAAAATAATATTTACAAAGAATTAATCAGTATACGTTTAATCAGTATTTTAAAGTGTGTATATTTATATAAATATAACTTCAAATTCCCTGATAAGTATAAAATATCTAAGTATTTTAAAAGCATAAAATAAAAATACCAAAGATAATTATATATAACACATATCAATTTCAAATCGAAAATTGTAATTATAAAATATTTTTTTATAAGTTTATTTAGCATAGATCAATTCAACATTGGTTTCATAAAACACAAACTAAACTCTCTAACCTATACATACAATAATAATAGTGTCGAATATGTCGTTGTTTTGTGTGGACTTTTAAAAGTGTTCACTTTATTATGAAATATAAAGAGAGAATTCAAATGTAATCATTGCCAAGATGCCTCCAAAACAGAGGAAAATTGCTATTATGGGCTACAGATCAGTTGGTAAGTTGTTACGGAGAATTATGTGTGGGAAATCCCTTACGCAATTGTTTGAACTTGCTCGTAAATAATTGAAATACTACGTTGTTTTATTGAATGTAATGCTTTTAGGTAAGTCATCGTTGAGCATTCAGTTCGTCGATGGACAATTCGTTGATTCTTATGATCCAACGATAGAAAACGGTGGGATATCAGATATCTTCAATTTTTATCAAGTGGTTTTGAATTCCATTGTTTTATTTTGTGTTTTAATTGTTTAGTGTTTACAAAAACAACCCGTATACGTAGTCAGGATTATGACTTGAAACTTGTTGACACTGCTGGTCAAGATGAGTACTCTATATTCCCTGCACAATATTCAATGGACATACATGGCTATGTTCTTGTATATTCCATTACTTCACTCAAGTCATTTGAAGTTGTGCAAGTCATTTATGAAAAGTTGCTCGACATGATGGGGAAAATACAGTAAGTATTTATCCATCAAAAATTATGAATGCATTTTGTATTAATTTGTTTTGCTAATTTAACTGTAATTGCATTTCACTTAGTTTCTAAGTGTCTTCAACTATTGTACTTCAACTATAGCTATTTCTGAAGTATATCTATAACACACTGGTGTTAGATATATTATTGTAAGTGTGATAGATGTAACAAAAAGAAACCATCCAGCACATAATTATGGAGTGCCCTGCTTATCAAAATCAAGAGATAAAATTCTTATATTTTTAAAACCTTACAATAATGATAAGCTATGGGATAAATTATTAATATCGGGCAAACCCGAGGTAATCATCAGTGTCACACAGTACTTGTATTCAATTAAGAAATATATTTAGAATGAAATAGTAAAGAATATGAATTCAAATTCCAATGCTCCCCCCCCCTCTCCCAAAAAAATGAAATTCTATTATTAATTCAAAAAGATTGGTATTTTATCACTAGCCAGTCAAACTTTTAAATTGGTGAAGATTTTTAAAAGTTCGTTTCCATTACATAAAAAATTTAATTAGATCATTTTTGAAGATATAGAAATATTCAATAGTAGTTCTAATACAAGCAGAAATTTGGTAGGGACTGTACAATGTTAATTTCATTACTCCTCCCAATAAAAGTAGAGAGGAGGTGAAAATATTGTTTCCCCCCTTCAATATTTCGAAGTTCAAAAATAAAATCAAAATCAATAACAATTAATCTACATGAATGAATTAAATATGTAAACTAAAACTAATTAAGAAAATATAAAAAGTCGACTAGATTGCTAAGCTAAGGCCTAGAAGTAGATATGCAAGTATTTCACCACACCTTATGTTCCTATTATGGAAATTTTAGATTATATTAAAAGATTGTACAAGTGTCACTCCACTCTGATTGTTGGCACAAGATCTCATGATTACGCCTTAAATGGAATCTCAAGAATGGTTGAGTGTCTGAAGGTAGATGAAAGTGAACATAGATGACATTTATTAAGACCTCAGCGTCAATAAGGCCACCCATTCTGAGTGAGCACAAGTTCAAAACAGTGATGAAACGAAAGCTAATTATGGACCCGATTTTAATTGGAAAGGACTATTAGTTTGCCGGACATAAATCACAATCTAAATAAAGGGAGGTTATACTGTGAACATATCAATCCTTCACTATATTCAGAATTGATTGCGTGATCATGAGATTTTGGCCCATCGAGGAAAGTGGAGTTACATTTGTACAATGATACCTGAAAAAATTTCACTACAGATTGTATTTCACAGCTAAAATGGTCAACAAATTTTTAAAAAAAGCTTTTCTGCTCTAGTTGAAAGAATATTTTGAATTTTTTTTTTAATCTCTATGAGGCTGACAGAAATCAAAGTTCATGATATAATTAAAGGCACAATCCCATCTGAAAAAGAACCATTGTGGATTTGTCAATCATTCTTTAGTAAGTAATAGTCGGGATTATTTTAAGTAAGATTTGGATACAACCTATATAAATTTTTGATGAAAGTGAGCCAAAAATAACAAAACAACTATTTTGACATATGAGCCTTTTAGTTGAAAGAATGACTAAACTCCTATTTCAATATTTTTGATTATTAATTTTAGTGATATTTGGGGGAGAAAAATGTATACCTTTATTCACAATTCTATATTTCGAGACTGCACTCACCTACTCTGGAATCAACTTACTCCCTGTCTGTACAGATATTATGAATTTTCCAACTGGAAATATCACTAAAACGACTTTACTCAAAAATGTTGAAATTGGAGTTAGTCATTCTATCAACTGAAAGGCTCATATAAAAGTGCACTAAAGACATTGGTCTTCACAAAACTATTTTTTTGTTCAAATATCGTAATTATGTATCTACATTCAAATGTATAATTAATTTTTAAACAGCTTATTACGGAAAGTGAACAATATTAATATATGTTGTCGATCTTTCATTTCGGCATGATGTGTTTCACTTTTTTGACTTGGCCAGACTTTAAAACGAATGCATAATAATCATGTTTATTGGAGAAATCACAGAGCATTTTAAATAACAGAATACTAAATACTTCAATACTTGTAAGTAAAAAACAAATATTGGTCACAAAGTTTCAAGCTGAAGAAATTAAATTGTAAACCATATAAAATCCAAAGAAAATGACAGATAAATTGTAATTTGATGGCATAAATATAATATTAAATATCTTCTATCTTATTTTGCTATTCAATTTCTAATAATTCAACTATCTATTATTTCCTAAACATGAATGTTTAGAGCGTTATATAAAGAAAAAGTATTTTGTTTATAATATATAAAGATTTTAGCTTACAATGGGGTACTTGTATGGAAAAAAAAATTGTTAAAATATGAGTTGCAAGAGGATTCATGTAATTAAGAAGATATATGAGATTAAAATTGCATTTTTTTAAAATAATTAAAAAGGTTCATATTTAGTTAATAATTTGAAATAACAAAGCCTTGGAAAAGTTATGGTGAAGAGTGGAGAGAGTGAACCCTAGAATTATGTGCACTCTTGGTATGCCTTTCCTATATTTTTATGGCTAACTTGTTTTATTAATTTATAAAATGTAATTAAACAAATTTTAAACTAAATATTTTTACTCACAGAACGACAGAGTAAAAAAAAAGAAACCTGAAAAATATTTCTTGGATGGAAGTTTTGAAGGCCGAAAAATCCCTTACCGAACTTACAACTGTAGAAGTGAGCTAGGCGCTCGCATTATGTGACGTAGCAGGTATCAAACTCAATCACCCTGCCTCGTCCCCTCCACTTTTTTTTTTTAACTCTACTTTGTGAAAAATGTTGGGACTTCTTTCCTTTCTTTTTGGTTTTGTTTTTTTAATTACTTAATATTCACCAACAACTAAAAATATTTGATAACTCATGCAAGTACCCCATTACATTATAAAATGATTTACATTATAATTCAGATTTCTTTATATCCTATCAAAGGTCTTTTTTATGCAAGTATCGCCAGTCACTTTTAGTAACAGTTGCATTTAGTAAAAATAACAGTTATTATTTAGAGGTCATCTTATATATTATTTCCAAAAGGTGTTTTTGTGTCGGTATGCCATAACTTCGTTGATTTTTCATCAAATCCAAAGATTGACCACTCATTTGGAGATATTCTTCTCCTTCACATGTGAAAAATAGTCCTATCTTCCCGATATTTCTCGGAAAAAAGTTATGAAGAAAAAGAAACTTTATTAGTGAATCACTCAAAAAGTATGCATTTTTTTCTGGATTGTACCAATTAATATTAGAAAGATTACTAAATTACCTACAAAACAAACAAAAAATTATTTACAAAGATGCAGTCCATTAGTTTTGATATACTTAATAATTTCTTCCTCTTTAAAGATACTGTACTCACAGTTCTGATCCACTTTTTTTCTTGGCTGATATATTACCTTTATTATTTCTTAAAGGCATTTGTTTGTTCGCACATTTTATATTTTGTAATAATTTAGAAAATTCCATGATCGAGGCTTTATTATCTTTCCAGTCAGCATTTAAAAATAGATCCTAGCAAAGCAATTTGTTCAAATATTTTGTTCTATTATTTCAAATGGAATATTGTAATTGACCAAGGAAATACCATTAATTCTTCCCTCACGTAATACATAAAATCTGCTTATATCCTTATGGCTTTGTTATTTCTTCACTAAATTTTCTACGAATTTTTTACACTGGCCAACTAGTCTGTTATAAAACAATTAATGTTTTATTGAAAAGTGATATTAAGTAGCAAATAAACACAAAATAGGTTAAGTTTGAGGATAACAAATATTGTAAATGTTTAACTTAAGTTATAATTTCACATAGCTTTACCATTTTTGGATATGTAAAATTTCATATAATTCCCTCTGGAACATTTCCTTTTTCTGTGTAATATTCCTTTCTTCATTAACATTCGATTCCTTTCATTTTTTTTTTTTTTTTTTAATTTCACACACTCAGTAAAACAATATTATGATTCAGGTTATAACTTCATTAGTACGATAGTAATCATTTATTAAATCATGTGTATTTGACAAATCTGTAACAGTTCTAAATAAGTAACAAAATTGTAACTGACGATGCTTAGATAAACCCTCCCCCCCCATAGATAAGACCCCCTATCAAAAAGTTTTACTTATAATAAAATAATTAATAATTAGTTTTGTGAGGCTTTTTATTTTTGTATATATATAATACAAAACATTGTTATAAAAATTATCAGAATTTTTGTTAGGGTGAGTCATATTTATAAATATCGGTAAAAACTTGAGTTATCAAGGTCCTTTATCTTTTAGATAAGTAGATACGTTTGTAATTGAATACTGTATATTATTATTGTAAATCTAACTTGTGTGTAAATGATGTTCATATTATTTATTCTATCTACTTAACTGGCATTAAAAATAATACTTTTCAAAAATTATTAACGTTTTTAAAACTTTGTTTCTATTATGTTTCGGCTATCAGGTCGAGTCATCTTCTCCATAGAATCATGTTAAGCTGATTCTAGAATAGTCTCAAATAAATTAGTTATCTTATGAATGGCAATAAATAATTTTCAATAAAATTTAAAGCACATTATCACATATATTGTTTTTAATTATAATAACACTTTGAATTTGCTATTGTTATGTTTATGCACTACAAAGTTACATACTTTTATTGATATGTTGTTATGACATAGTCTCAGTTAAGATTGCAAGATAATATTATTATTTTCAAGCATAATGTGGTTACTTACCAATTATTACCATGTGATATTGTTTTATAAATTTGATTGTTTTCCATGAAATAATTAGTTTAATTATATCCATTCTAGAATCACCTGAAGATACTTGAAACTAAAAATACTTCCATTATAATGTCTTTTAATTAATTAAAACATTCTTAAATTGACGTTTCGGAAACCTCCTCCATCATCACGGGTCTATTCTTGAATAATTATTACGTTGTTCCTCCCTCCCAGATCTATAATCCATATAAAATATTTAGACATAATAAACAAATGCAATTAGGAATAAAATACTATTTTTTAAAAACAGTATCATATTATAGAGAAAATCTCATTTCACATCACATTGGTTTTCCTTTATTATTTTATTTTATTTATTATGACTAAATATTTTTTTATAGGTTTTAGATCTGAGAAAAATCAAAAACAATGTTCGATAATTATTAAAGACTGAATTTATGATGATGGAGGAGGTCTCCGAATTATCGGTTTGAGAATGTTTTATTAATAAACAAAGACATTATAATGGAATTATATTTTCACTGTATATATTGTTTAGATATCTAGTGTTTTTTAGTCTCAATAATTCCTAATAAATTATGTCTTCATACTAAGCATAGATGTACTACATTATTAACACGTTGACATACAGACCGGTCATGCTAAACTAACATTGAATATACATGCAGTGTTTCAAAATTAAAAAAAAAAAATAGTGTTTCAACTGCCTCCGGCAGTGCTACATCCTACACCCTGATGAAGATCTACAAAGTCGGTCGGCAAAAAAATTAAATAATACTATTCGGATAATTTAGTATTTATTTGACCGCACCCCCCGATCAACTCCTCAAAAAAAAAAAAATGATATAAAAAAAGTTAAGTTAATTAAAAAGGAAGTTGCCTTTTGTTTTTCAATAATAACTGTCAATATAAAAGTCTGTCTAATGAATTTCTACAAAATTTTAAGTAATTGCTTTATTTTTTAAACTTACTTTCTAAATAAAATCTCTCCATGTCATTAACTCTCAAATTAAAATCTATATTGCTATTTTTTTATTGAAGGCAAATAGTTGTTGTTGATGTGCTATTGTTGAGAAAAATTCTTGATAATATGAACTGGTAGATTTCATCATGGCCTGTTCAGATTATCAAAGGATAAATTTAAAATGATGAAAAAATGCATCATCTCTAAGATAACATTAGTTAAATATGAATACATTGCAAACAAAATATTTCTTTGAGTCTCTGATTTCGTTACTAAAGATCTGATAAAGAACTGATCTCGCAAATTTCTGAAAAGTACCAGGCTTTGGTAGTTGGCATTGTATCCAAGTATTAAATGCCTTTAAAGTGTTTCTATGACTTATCTACAGTAAGAAATAAAATGGGTGTAAAGAAAATTTCCAGTAAAATAAAAATTGTTATAAATAAAACATATTCTATACCTATTTTTGAAATCATCAAGCCAACCTATACTGGCAATAAAATCTGCTTTGTCATCCTTCTTAAAAAAGTTTCCCAAAAATTGGATACCCTCCAAAAATCATATATAAAGAGATTCCTCAACTTTTGAATGGTCTCCTAATTTTAATAGTTTCTATTTTGAGATACCAAAATACAATTTCAACACTACTCCACAAAGCAATTCTGTTAATATGTTTCTGTTTTACAGTATTATTTGTTTTTAAGGAGATACATATTTACGACGTTATGATTTTTCAAAGGGAGCCATATTTCTGTGAGGTTTTGATTGATGAGATCGTTCAAACCAAGGCACAGTGAAAAACTAAATTACAATTTTCATAATTTTGCTTTTATTTTAAGGTGACCAGATTTCAAGATTGGTAAATTTAGGACACCATTGACCAAGGTTGGGGAGGGAGTTCTTTATTTGGTCCAACATTAGTTGTTACTATAATTAATTTTACATAATGGTAATCTGGTACAAATATATTTAGGTAATACAGTATTCAGCTGAAATGAGGTTGTGGTGGTCGAGTGTGTTGGAGCGTTGTCTGGTCTAGCATCCTCGTGCCTAGCGACGCCGGTTCGAATCTGGCCTGGGAGTTGTTGACTTTTATTTCATGGCAGCCCCACGGGATGAAAATTGACCCTCCCACACTGGTTAGAATAGGTTTGGTTGTATTTCTAGAATAACTCCTCCTCCCTCCCCCCTCTTCTCCCCTCCCGTTTGCCAGAAATGGTGGGTAGAGAGTTATCCAATAAAGAAAAACAAAAAAAAAAAAAGTATTCAGCTGAAATAAGGTTGATAATTTAGTTTTAAAGATGTATTTTTGAGAATGAATAATTTGATGTTTAATTTATGACTTCAATAACAACACAGTTTTTATGACTTACTTGTTCTATTTCCAGCAGTTTGTACACAATCAAGCAATTATTTTTCAAAATGCTATAAAACTTATTATATAATAATTGTTAATTGGTTGACTGCCGTGGATAATGAAGAGAAGAATAGTTGGGGTGGTCAGTCAAAAAGGAAGGCAAAAATAAATGATAATATTTATTTTTTAAGTGAAGCTATCTGTGGAGAATCTGAGATGTGGTGATGTTGGGGTAAAGTCTGCGGTGAGGATCTGATGTTACTTTGGAGTCTGGAACTGCGGCGAAGTGGTGCTGAGTATGTATCTGGCCGTTTTTGAGTCATATTGAATATTTAATGGTTGACCGTTGCATTATAAAAGAAGGAGATGGTCCGGGATTGCGGTCATAAAAAGGCTAAATAGTGGTAAAACTATTTTATTGAAAGCCAACGTTTCGACCCGACTTTGCAGGTCTTCATCAGGGAGGTGTGTTCCTCTAGGAGTTTCACTTAGAACTGGTCTAAGTGAAACTCCTAGAGGAACACACCTCCCTGATGAAGACCTGCAAAGTCGGGTCGAAACGTTGGCTTTCAATAAAATAGTTTTACCACTATTTAGCCTTTTTATGACCGCAACCCCGGACCATCTCCTTCCTTTATAATGCAACGGTCAACCATTAAATATTCAATATGACTCAAAAACGACGGGGCCAACAACGGCCAGATACATACTCAGCACCACTTCGCCGCAGTTCCAGACTCCAAAGTAACATCAGATCCTCACCGCAGACTTTACCCTAACATCACCACATCTCAGATTCTCCACAGATAGCTTCACATCACTCGCCTACTCCGTCTTCATCACCTTCATCTCCATTTATTTTTTAAGTTTTGCAGGGAGAATGATTCTCCCATTCTCCCTGCAACACTTAAGGAGACAGCTCTGATGAAGGCCTGAACTTCAGGTCGAAACGTCGGCATATGTAAAAAATAAATATTATCATTTATTTTTGACTGACCACCCCAACTATTCTTCTCTTCAAAACTTATTATAGGTGACAAAATTTTGCTAATCCAAGTAGCAATTGAAGTTAACTTGCTGATGCCCAAGATTTATCCGTTCCTTATATGTTTCCTTATTGTTTATTAAGTTCAGACAATGGTGGTCGAATTCTAACAACTCTTCAACAATGCAAAATTTTATAATCAGTTCTCAACAATTATTTGTGATTAATAATGTTTGTTTTGTTTTTTTGTGACATTACAGACCCTGTAGATCTTTTGTCGTCTTAACTAGCCTACTGCATTTCTGCCTATCCTGGATTATTTCTTTCCAGTTATCTGCACCCTGCTCTATTGTATCTTTGTTGATTCTATCTATCAATCTGCTTTTTGGCCTTCCACGTGGTCTTTAGCCTTCTATTGTGCCATTCATTGTTACGTAGAGGCTTCCAGATGGATTGCTATGAGCTACATGCCCCACCCATCTTAATCTCCTTGCCTTCATATCATAGGATATTGATTGAACAGTTTCTGTAAGCAGTTCTTTATTACTCTTTCTTCTCCATGTATTAGTACTCTGGTCCCAGATCGCTCCGGTTATCATACGGAGGATTTTTCTCTCTTTTACTTTAAGTTTATTCTACCTACATGTTTTCAAACTATCTCTTACACCTATATATTATTATTTTCTTTTTAATGTTAATAGTTTCTCATACCCATTGTTGTCTGTTTTTTTCTTAGCCCTGATGAAGGCCGAAATGTCGGCAAAAAATAAAAATAAATATAATTTATTTATGGTGTAGAGATGATTGATCCTGATATAATATGAGTCTACGAGACTCGACTACCAGTCTACCAACTGCTTCCTGCAGTAGCTGATACCGCGCCCAGATAATGACCTACAAAGTGGGTCGAAACGTTGGTGCAACGAATAAAATACTATTTTAACAATTTATTATTTATTAGACTGCACCCCCCAACCAACAATAATTTATTTATACATTTTCTTTTTCCGAACATTCCAACCAATCTTTCTCTTCCGATTAGTTAATTATTCATGGAAAACTTCAAAAATACTGACAGTATAAATTGTATCAATAATTTACTCTCAAGTTTTTGAGTCAATAGATTTTTTAAATAATTAGAAAAACCTAAAATAAATTCTACTCAATTTAAATTGATAATTAATGATCAATTTATCAAAATTTCAAACCTATCTCCTAAAAAAAAGTGAGAAGGAAAACTCCGTGAAACAAACACCCAGCTTCGCTCCATTAAAGTACCAACTACCAATTGGTTATTATGGCTTAATATCACTTGGGGTTCAGACATTACCGTCGTAAATGTTTTAACTGCAGATCTACTTATATTTGCACTCTCTTTTAGGCCTATTAACCTTACTACCTGTTTAGATTAGGAGTTGAAAACTGTTTATTATTAGTACAATTTCTGTTACTTGTACATTTACAGCACAGTACATTTACTAACGTTGGCACAAATAAAAAAATTTGTATAATGACTATTTATCAGCCATTGTATATTTACCTGTATCTATTATGAATAATTTTAAAAAAGGTAAATCAAATATATAGTTTAACGTTGAACAAGACAAAAATAATAAAAATAAGATAGTATAAATAATCAAATGTTAAAATTAAATCAATGTATAATGAATGTAGAAAACAGCATAATGCTTTTTATAACTGAATAACTAACTCAAAACCTCTTACGAGTGATGATTAAGAATTAGTTTTGAATGTGCCATACTTGTCTTCCAAAACCACTTAAAATAAAAAACAAGCTAAAGATGCAATTTCTTATTAAATATTTCATTAATATATTGTTTGTTATTTTTATTACTAGGGTACCTATCGTATTGGTCGGGAACAAAACTGATCTTCATATGGAAAGAATGATAAGCTCCGAAGAAGGTAAAAGGTTAGCCATCTCGTGGAAAGCTGCCTTTATCGAAACGTCAGCCAAACAAAATGAGGTAATAATTTCAATTTTTTAAATTTAGAATTATTTTATTTTAGTGTAAATATTATTCATCATAGTTATGCTAAAGTTAATTTATCACTGGCTAGACCACATTACCTAAAAAAAAAAAAAAAATAATAACATTTCACGAAATTAAATAACTTCCCCGTTGGACATTTAGAATCTCTAGGGTTTCCTTTTTCTATTTAACACTTTAAAATTGAATAAAGAATTTAAATATTTAAAATTAAATTAAAAATATATAAAGAATTAAAATAAAAAAAATCAGTTATGCGGATAAAATCTCCATTAAAAAAAAATACATTTTTGGACTAGTAATGGACACACCGAAATACAATTATTCTAGTAATGGACATACCCTCAGAAAAATTCTAAAATCTTTATTCAACTATAAAGATAATATAAATGTTCAACTTACTCTTAACAAAGCTTTTTGTAGGAAGGTATGAAACACAATGATCACAAGAGAACTATAAAAATAACAATGATTGGCACTTTAAAAGTTTCTTTTGGGAACTTAGTTCATACAGTTGTCAATAGTCTAGATTTATGGATTTGTCTTCAATCTAGGAAAAACTGGAACCTTTAAACCATCCTGAGATTCATAGGGAGGAGAGCGACCTCTGTGTCTTGCACTCCTGTTCTTCCAGATTGGGGGTTTGGCATAGATGATCCCTTATCCCATAAAAAAACTGGGAGGAAGATTAAAACAAAAGATTGCCAATCATCCTTCAGGAAAGTTCCTGATGAAGATGAAGTGTATGCAATCGCGTCCGGTTAGTAAACCATGTGCTTCCTGGATATCTCGAAGAAGAGAGAACCAAACGATCACTACTGTTGCCTATAACAGCTCCAATCTGCTGAAGAAGACTCGTGGACTTAAAAAGTCAACAGGGATTAGAAAAAAAAATTTGTATATAAATGTTTTTTATTTTTAAAATATAGAAATTAGGTAAAATAAAACAGTATATGGTTAAGGTATATTTTATTCAATAAATGTACTAAAATCCTTGGAATACAAGGACTGCATCTGTCAGAAGTATGTGATCTGCTGAGGGCTAAGCGAAATTCGAATTTGAATGTTACAAAAGAGACAGAGTAAAAAATTATGAAACTTGTACATTTAATAACTCTTTAAAATAAGAACGTGTCTTATAAATTTAGTGACTGAGACTCACTCACTTTCAGAGTTATATTGTATCAAATATCGATGGACAAAAATGTAGAAAAAATACTCATCATTATTCCATTTTTCATGTTAGTCCAGTATCTAAAAATTATCAGGTGTTGAACTCTCAATTATAACTGATAAATAATTTAAAAAATATCAAACAACAAAACTATTGGTGTAGAGATGGCTGACCGTGATTATAATATGAGAAAGAGTTGAACTCCTCAATAACAAACAACTCCTTATAAAAAATGTATTAATTCAACTTGGATAATTTTAAATTGATTGAGCCATTCACTTGTTACCATTTGTTGATTTACCAATGTACTACTGTCATAAACTTATAATGTTTTTTTAACTGCCATATTTTTGTTTTAACAGTCAGTAGCCGATGTGTTTCATACTATGTTGCTGGAGATCGAAAAGGCAAACGGAAACGTATCCGAAAAACCTAACTGTTCCATCTCATGAATGACTACTTGTGCAATGAATGACCGCTTAAAGACACATCTTGATCAAGACCTAGTTGTAAGTAATTCAGACTTTGATATTCTTCATATCGGAGATTTACTTTTGTTCAGGGTATTAAGTTAGCTTGATCAACCATATCAAACTGATTTTTTTTTAATACTTAATTTTGATATTGTGTTAAAGAAATTTTTCTGAGCCTCGCTGAATATGCAATGAATGCATATATATATACAATAATGCTAGTCCAATTACAAACAGACCATTCGTATTTAAAGCTTCAAGAGAGTTAGAAGTTTGTCGTGATGTGTGTTTTAAATAATTGCTAGTTATCGTGATTGTAGTTAGCTAAGACCAAAATGTTTACTTTACTTCTGTCTTTTCTATGAGAGTGAAGTTCCGATTGAAGTGTGTACGTTTTCAATTGTTCATCAGTTTTTACTTAAAGTTTTTTATTAGTCCTAATAAAAAATATTAAGAAAGAAAGAAAATCTTAGCTAGTCAAAATGTCAAAGGACTTAATGAAAGATTTCATTATATCGTAATGATTTTGATTTATATAATTTAAGCAAACTATTTGTTTTTATATTAAAAAAATGTTAACCAATTATAAAATCATATTCATGTATGAATATTATTATATTGTGGATTATTTTTTTATTATAATTTAAATATAAAACTGTCTTATATTTATTGATTTAAAAATGGTTGAATCAGACATATTTTATTATTATATATTTTTGAACTCTTGTTTGAATGACTTGTTTGTTGTTTTATTTATTAATGGATATTTAAGTAATACTTGCATGTTATTTTCTATAATCTTGTTTGGTTGTTTATTACCACTATTTTAATAAGAGTTAAAGGATTTTATGTAATATACATAATATATACATATATATATAATTATAATATATTTACTATATATTTATTTGTATATTTTTTTGTGAGAAAGTGATAATGTGCAACTTCAATCCGATACTATGTTTGAAGGTTTGCTATCTATCACTTGAAAAAGATATATGTACAATTTTTGTTAATATTGTTAAAATTGTAAAAAAATTATATAAATAAAGATAATATATAGATGTTCTACATTTGAACTTTTGCATTTATAAGAGAATTATAAAATAAAATTCAGAATTGAAAAGGAAATGATTTTATTAATTTTTTTTTTTTTTTAATATTTCCATATCCTTCAATCTCATTTACGTAACTAATTAGGCAAAAATAAGGACAGTACTTAGTATTCTTTAAATTAAAATTTTCCTTGTGTTTATGTTTTCAAGTTTTACATTGAATATTCAGACCAAAGGATGAGTCAACTGGAGTTAACATGAGAAAATGGTTAACCAGTACTGAATTGCATGACTGTGTCTGGTAAATATGATTGAGGTAATGGTATTGGGGGAATAAAATTGTTGGACTTAATAAAGGAAGAAAAGGTTAATATGCGTTGTGCTCACTGTTAAGCATCTAAGGGGTAGACTGAGGCGAAGGAAGGAGGACTGCGTTAAGGTTGTCTGGCTTGGTTGGGTACAGGAATCAAACCTTTGGGTTCACTACTAAGCCTTTATTATCTAATGTTTGAGTAGTAGAGTACAGTAGCTCAGTAAGTAAGACACAGTGCTCCCATTCTTCATGTGACTGATAATTATTTAGGACATCATAAGCTATTGATTGACCCTGCGGTTGGAAGATCTTTTTTTTTTTTTAGTACATTTAGTTTATATTAAGTAAGTACCCTTAATTACTAAAGAAGAAAAAATTAGCATTAAGAGTGTTCTTGGCCAAATCACCTCCTTGCACACATAGGTGCAGAGTTCCGGGGAGTGATCGTCCCTCCAATAAAAACAGAGTAGAGGTGAGAATATCATTTTGCGCCCACAATATTTCAAGAACAAAATAAAAAGTTAAAATTAATGACAGTTAATCTACAATAATGAATAAAATATGTAACTAAAATCAATCAAGAAAAAAGGAAAAGTCGATTAGGTGGTTAAGCTAAGACTTAGAAGTAGGTACGTTAAATGAAATTTTAGTTTATATTTGAAGATAATTATATATAGCATCCTAATATCCTAAAATTTCATGATCCATTCATGTGGACACTTCCATTTTTATTTGAAGATTTTATCGCATTTCCCACAGCAAATTTAAAGTATCAGAAAATTTAGAGTTCATCTTATTGCTTCAAACGTTTATATAAACATAAAAACATGTAATATATTCAATTAATTTAAGCATGTTTTCAAATATACCTACAGTCCATACACAAAAAAAAAAATATTATGTATAAACTTATGTAATATTATATTGTTCATTTTACAATAATTATGTTGATCATAATTGGCACTCATAATTTTTATACATAATTAAACTTTAACAAAAATTTTTTTGAGTGATCTATCGCCCCTCCCCTCCTTTCTCCCTCCCAACCAGAATGTAAAGTCCACCCTATGTTCACACAACAGTTGAGTTGACATACAAACGGTATTCCTCTATTAAGTACTGAACCTTAATTCCTTTTATTGGCTGATATGGTACAGGTTTATTTTTTTTTTTGTATATCAAGTATTATACCAGGAAGAAAGAGTGTAGGAAATGAGTAGAGGAGATGCATCAGCTTCTACCCAACCATATTCACTCCCTTGTATACAAAGTGTTATTTTCTGTATTCAAAATGCTGGATTGTATTAAACTGGCTTTATTACTGAATGATTTTACACTCCCACTTATAAATAGCAACAAACGAAGAAATCAGCTATCTAACAATGTATGATGAGTTAACTTTGGGAAACTTTTCAAAGTTTTAAGCTGCTTCTATCTTTATTTTCAAAGTTAAATGCTGAAAAAATTATTAACATTTAAGGTCAGTCTTCCTCTTACAAAATATGACAGAACAATAACTCTAGAAACAACAGTATTTACTTTAAAAAATTTTAATTTGTCTTAATCTTACCCCATTGATTGGGATAAAATTGGAACAGTGCATTATCTCCATTACAAACGGCAGGTAACATGATTTTGTACCAATGTTACCCGACAATATTGTATAGACTTATTATTCATAAGAAACAACAAGGAAAATGTGTGCATAATAATTTTATCCAAAATACTATATTTAAGAGTACATGAGAACTGTAAATTCGTATTAATGGTACAAAAATATTGCAAACCATTATTTTTTTAACAATTAGGCCTTGAAAATTTACAGAACAAACATTATTCAAACACTTTGTATAATTTATTTTTTGTTGAATGAAGCCAAGAGATCGCTGTAAACTTGCAGCTCTTTCTCTTTGAAAATTTCTCGCCGGCCAATTTGTCCTTTGAGTAGTGAATTTCATCAGGTGTTGAAGGCCTTTTCCAAGTAGAAGCCGATTTCTTCAGGCTGGTATCAATACTTCGATGATCTGATGTTCACAGTTCTTGAGGCACAAGCGAAAATTTCATGAAAACAATAATTTTGAAAAAAGCAATGGAAATAAATAAAACCTAATTGCACAACTAGTGTAGTGAACTAGGGTTCTCAAACTGCTGCAAGGTAGTAGAGCAACATTCCTACACAAAGCAGGATTTGCAGACTGAATCAACACAGTCTTTCACGGAATCACCACAAACTAAATTTTACCCGCTGCCCCAAAGTTTTTCCCTATCTTATGGTAAACTTTTTGTAATTTATCTTCTTAAACAAGAGAATAAATGTCAGGTATAATTTAAAAAGATGATGATAAATAAATTATATAAAACTAAATTCATTTTAGAAAATTTTCTTTTATTTTTAAACATACAAATTATTCTGGAAAAATTATTTTTTAAATGTAAAATTGTGGAAAAAGATTAATATATAAGCTTGTTCAAATATTGGTGGATAGCATTTCTATATAAAAAATTGAACTAGAGCTCCTTCATGTTTGATTTAGTACAGATTAAAGAAAATATTACTTAACAAACTATATAAAAAAAAGAAATAAACTTATATACAAAACACTTAAAAATATGATAAGACACTTAAAACTATGTACAGTTGGAAAAATTATAATTATACACTATTAAGAAAAAAAAAAAAATACATTGAGTTCTTCTTTAAAATAAGCTGTGTTTCTGCTAACAAAGTTGAATCTGACAATATAAAGTGTCGGAGTATTTAAATAATGAATAATATGTAAACACATCATTATATTATTGTAACTATAGGTACAGATTTAGTTGTATAAGAATAAAAAAATAATAGTAAAAACAAACAATAGATGCATTCAGTGGCATTAAGAGTAGGAAGATATTGTAATATCCCTAGTGAAGTTTACAGTATGGAATACTGTAAGTACTATCATTTGATGATGAATGATATAACAGAAATGTATAATATCAAAACCTTAGCAAGTCTGACTGTTTTTGGGATAGGAATTGGAATAGGAGGGTTTTGAATGTGGATATGGAGGGAGAATGCCGAATTTTGATAGGTAGGAAATTCCAGAAATTGAGAGCCCAAGCTATAAAGAAGTTTTGAAATGAGGCAGATCTGTGAGAAGGGATCGAAAGGTCGAGATCTTGTGGAAAAAGCAGAGATATACTTGAGAAACATGAATTAAGTGTAAAAATTTAAATGATGAAAGTATCTGATAGGGGTTAAATATTTAATGTTTTCTAGTTGTGGTAAATTGATTGTTTGTTAGATATGAAGATGTAAACATAAAATTAATTTGAAGAGAATGATGGTTGGGGTGATCAGTCAAAATAAAAAATAGCAAAAATAAATAATAATATTTACTAAAAAAAATGTATATATTATTTATTTTTGCTATTTTTTATTTTCGTTTATTTTTATGTAAGATTAAAATTTCATTGTGATAAATGGGCACATTTGGAAAAATATTAAAATAGCTGTTTAAAAAATTGACAGGAACATAATACTAGATCTCAAATTTTATTTTATTAAATCTATCTGCTTTTCTCATTTCCAGTTGTATTATCAAGTTTATTTACTTTCTATATTTTATTTTATTTTTTTATTTAATGTTATCTTACTCTTCAATTGATAACATTTATTAATATTATTGTATTTATTTATTTTTATCTTATCTTTTAAATATTTTTATCTATCTTTTTTCATCTTATCTACTCTTACTAAATTCTACTTCTTGTACAATTACAATACCTTAGTAAAACAATAAGAAAAAAATATTAATAGTATTTTAAGTTTATATATTATGTTTTATAATTTTCACTCCAAGGAGTTATATTTTCAGAAAAATATTGTACTGTTAGATCTTTTAGAAAAAATGTTTCGGCACATTATTTGTGACTATTGAACCTTTTTTTTTTTTATTTATCTTTAATCATTTCGTATTTAACTGAAAAAAAAATTGGTCCTGCCATATCCTATACACTAAAAAAAAAATCTTTCAACTCTGCTTTAGATTTAATTTGTGTTGTGATACGATGAATACAACTAAAAACATTAAGTTATAGTTTTTATTCTTCAATTTTACGACAATCTGTTACTAAGTCTCTAATAATAAGGGAATTCAGGGTGAGGATTCTGGCAGTCCTTCCTTTAGTTGAAAAAATATTCAAATCAAACTTCTTTTAATCAAGAAGATTAGTTAAACTCTTTTTCAACTTAATTAATGGATATAGCCAGGTTTAGCTAAAGTTCGTTGATATATCTACCCAACCTGTCATCATATCTTTTATATCAAGTCCTAATCTAATCTTGTACAATGAATATGGTCAACTCTATATGGAATGTTTTGTTACTGATGTACCAGGTTGAACCAATGGTAAGAAAATATTGAATTCTAAAGATTTTTGATACATTTAACTATAAACTGGATATTACATTCAGTAATGTATGAACAAAAAAAGCTATGAGGTAGATTTAGTAGCAGAGGTAGGTTATGAGGTAGCAACAAATTTTTGAGATGTGTGATAGTCGTTTTGAAAGGAAAAAGAAAGAATTTTCTAAGTCATTATACAAGAGACACCTCCATATTTGCCTTAAGTAGACCAGAAATTGGCATCTACTTATTAAAAAATATTCTCTACTCATGCAGTTAGAAATTCAATTTAAAGTCATTTTTATACCAGAAACTAAATAAAAAGGTTTTTGTAAATCATAAGAAAAATCTAAATTGTATAAAAACTCTACATTTTTACTTTCACTTATCTATTTATGTAATATATAGTAAGAGAAAGTATTGCGATCTTGAAAATTTTCAAAACTGAGTTTTCAACGGAAATACACGTTTTGAGGTCCCCTGAGTCCAAATAACCAAGTCCTACAAAATGGTGTGTGTGTATGTGGACAGTCTAGCTCAAAAACGAAAATTCATACAAAACTGATATTACATATTTGAGATAGGTATTTGACTTAGATGTTACAGCAATTTTTTCCTTAAAATTGGCTAACCGGTAGTGCCACTTTATATCGACAGTGAAATACATTTTTACAATTTTCTCAAAAACGGCTCCAACTATTTTGATTAAACTTTGTGTATCAGTGTAAAATTAAGCAGTTTTTAATATTATTTAGGTTTTATCTCCATTGATGTCACTTTACAGGGCTTAAATGCCCAATGTTCATATATGTCTTCGTCTAAAGTACCTTTAATATGGTTCAATTAGAAATTCACACCTTTATTCACAATTCTATTTTTCAACACTGCAATCACCTACTCTGGAATCAACTTACTCACTGTCTGTACAGATATAACTTCTTCAACAAGAAGATGATTAAATGATTTTACGGAAAAATGTTGACTGACATCTGAAAGGTACACATAGCTCAGAGAATGAAGTTATGTGGTTTAAGGAAACTGGTGGAGTAACTAGATTTTTATTGCCTACTATCGATATAATAAATAGAGTTTTTGTTATTTTAATAGTTTGTTATCTGTAAGATTTAAGCTTTAGCTCCGTTTAAAGTGCATTTCAAAAATTTTATAACAGGCCAACATTGCCAGAAAATAATTTCTATTCAAAGTGGAGCAGTAAGTGAAACTGGTGTGTTACAGGGACCAGATTTTTTTTTTAATATCAGGTATGTAGGGATAATACTTTTGGTTGTGATGCCTAAAATTATTTATTAATTAACTCTTAAATATAGTTTTTAGAAAATTCAAGCCCTCTATATTGTTTAACTCTGACAATTAACGTTTTTCTATTTTATTACTAGTAAAATAAGGTACAAATATTTAATGCAGTCTCTGTAAATTGATATTAACTCCAGTTGGTCAATTATAATAACATTCCCCTGCATCTTTATGCCCTACATTGTATTAGTAAATAAAAATATATATTTATTTATTCAAAATTAGAAAATATAAAACCAATAATATCTTTATAATAATTTGTTAATTAGTTAAATTAACACTTACATTTGAGTTGCAGTTCATCGGACGGTGCTGCCATCTTCATTTTTACCCGCGAAATCGTTGGAGCCCGCTTCTGTCACGTTATCAACTTGTCATACCGGCTTAAATTTTGAATTCATTTTGTAGTTTTATTTCGTTAATATTACCTGATACTTTCTTTAATCTTTATTATATTATTAAATAGGAAATATTTTAATAAATATTCAACATCACATCTTTATAAAGTATTAATAAGTTGGTTAAAACAGTAGTATAATCCTAAAGCGGTAATGACGTTTTCTAATCTATCAGGATGTGGAATTAATTCCTGTTGGTGTAAGAAATAATCTGTTTAACTTTGCTCGTAGTTTTTAATGGCCAAGATATCATGTTCGCTCATATTTTTACGTTTTCGTTTTATAATATTTAAGTCCGGTTGAACCATTCGATTTTGATTTGTCCGCCAAAATTTTTGCTGAGTATGGATAAAGATGAACTGATGTAGCAGAAAGAATATAGTCGTTACAGTTTTCTGCATAATAAGGACATTGTAAGTGTTCTGTTGTATTTTGTTTTGTTGTGATTTCTAAGTTCATTTACTGTAATATTAAGCTGATATTAATGTTAGCTGCTTGTAATGCATTTATAATTTTGTGTTGAATATGTAGTCAAGTGATGGAGGACTTCAACAGTACTGAATCACCCCTGACCAATCTCACAGTTGGTCTTGAAGGAACTAAACTCTCATCATTAAAGAAATCTTTGGCTTTTTCACCAAGTAAGTGATATTTACCAATGAACTTATGAATTGAATTTTAACATTGCTGTTTTTACAAATTATTCAATTAATTATCTACAACATACAAGATATTGGGAAATTGAAAGATGTTCGAAGTGTTATATTCTTTTAAACCGTAAACCTATTACCAGTTACATTTAAATGATTTTCTTTCATCTTTATTACGTTTAATAATCATTATAGAAATGCGATCTGAACTAGTTAACAAATGTCATCTATGGTGAAGAGGTGGGTCAAGGTCACATTGATCATGCTGTAGGTGGAATTCCGAAAATAGTCGGTAGCGACATATATGTTCAAGGGTCGTTTGCTCAATAGATAAATGAACCCTCAGCGAGTACTTTTCAGTTTCGGTCAGTCTTGCCAAACGCGGTTCATTTTGTAACATTGTTTTTATGGGGTGTTTAGAGATCCTTTGTATACTAGTTTTGGACATTCCCAGCTACTTTGATGATTCTTTGTATATTTGATCGATGAAATCCAGACATGAGACTTTTGAACTAGCACCATATGATTTTAATTTACAATTTTTTTTAACAGAAGCTTTGTTGAATACTAGGGGAAAAATCAAAATGAAAGATCTAAGAAAAACTTACTGACGACATCTACATTTTTTTATATCTTAATTTCTACATTTTTTATGTTTAATTGATGCTGAAGGTTTTCCTCTTATTAAGGGATTAACAGCTATGATTAAAAGTTAGGTTTTCATTAGCTTTCATCTGGATTAGGGATAAGAAATATTTTTTTAAAAAAAGATTTTTTAAAGTAGCTTTTATTAAACAGTAATATTAATGAATCATCAATATTGTTTTTCTCAACTATTTTTTAAAAATTGCATATTACCCATGTATATTTTTTAATGTTGCTATGTTGTTGTTTTTTCATATTTTTTGCCAAGCCCATGGAGAATATAAACTTATTTTTCGTCCCACACAAATTTAGCTTTTTTCAAGTAATTTAAAAGGGATGGCTATTCAATAAAAGAGCCCTTCTGTCTAAGATTCTATCTGAGAATGCTGCGACGAATATCAGTCGCATTCTGCTATGTTATGTAGCACATTTTCCATATAGTAGACAGGTTTTATCCCTTGTTATACAACAATTCTTTTAAGTATGTACTGTCTTGCGGGTATTCTAATAGTTAATCCGAATTTTTTTCTCCTTAGGCACTTAGTTCTAGATGAGGGCTTATTCATAAATTGCTTTGTCTATGTCCTACGCATTTCTTCCATTTCCATTCTGCTGTTCTCTATCCTCAATCAAGGACTTCTCTGCATTGATGATTCCTATTGTAAGTTCTGGGTCTATAAAGGGAATCTCAACGCCATTTCTAGCATGTTTTTTCTCTATGTTTAGAATGTTTCTCAATGTTCTTTTTTTTTTGCTCTTCTGTTTTCTCATAGCCTTGTCAGACAAGACTGACAAGAGTCTGCAAAGCCCCCATGATTCCTTTACAAGAATGGAGGTCACTTTAATGGATTCTAAGATCTGACTGACTGGAGCGATACCAGCTCTGTCACATCCGACTTCCAAATGTATTGCTCTTGACAATATGGCAAATACTTATGTCTATCAATGTGGGTTTATCAGACTCAACAAAAAAATAAAATCAGAATAATTGGGGTTAGAATTATCAAATAAAAAGAACATTAAAATATATTTTTTTAAAATACACTGCACAGGTTTTCTGTCAGCAATTAATCAAAATACTTTTTTTCATTAAGATATTACTTTTTTTTTAATATATTAAATATTGTTGTTGTGCATCCAAGTTACGCTTAGCTAGGGGTCTCCAAACTACAGCCCGCTAAAGTTTTTTTGATTATAGTGAATTTTAAAAAAATGAAATTTAGTAAATCACTCAAACACATGCTTACAACATTTATTACATGAGTTATTTCTCTAAGAAAGCTAATTTCACAATTAAGGTTCCATTGCTTGAACAAGCTATTTTTTTTATTACAATCCTTGGCGTGCGAGACTTGCAATTAATGGAGATCTGAATGTGGCCAAAAAGTTTGGCGATCTCTGCTCTTTAGAATCAATTGATCCTTCATCTTCTGTAAATAATTCCTCATTCATTCTATATAATAATAATATTTTATGTTGGCCATGCTATTTTGTAGTGGTGGAGGTATTGTTGACTAAATGCAATCTGATAGAATTTGGTAGTGAGTGTGGTAAACATCCCATAACTAACATCTTGATATAATTTTTTCATAGAAGCATAGTGCTTATAATGTTATTTATATTTTTGTTAATATCTTGTGTTTTATAAATCTTTCATGACTAAGAGGTTTACAGTTGTCAATATTAATTTATAATATGGTAAATAATAAAATAGTTTTTATAGCATTTCTGATACATTTATGTCTTTAAATGTTTAAACTTGTATTAATGTATAATGGATGCATAAAAAGTTGGTTCAAAATCATTCAAATCACATCGCTATTTATGAACTCATCTTATAGTTTTGTGGAATGATTTTTATTATTTTTTTTGTTCAAACTTGTATTAATCGGTAGTTATTTCTGAATACTTCTACTTATTATTTATTCTTAAAGTTAATTTTATACTTTTCACATTTTTGATAACAGTCTTCTGCTAGGTTTTTAAATGCATAAACTTTAGTATCTATTCTAATAACGTTAACATCTATTTTTTGAGTTTGTTGGTATTTTATTTGATGAGAAGAATATGTTTAAGTAAATTTTTTATATACTTAAGACTACAATACTTAAGTAATTTAATAATGTAATAAATTTCTCTCTGTGATTCAAATCTTTGCTGCTTTTACAAACTTTGTACTTAATTAAAGTAATCCATCATGTGTTGTTATTATTAAAAAAATTAAGTATAAAATGAATTTTTATAATTTATTTATTTTATTTTGTTTACTCTGAAACATTTCGATTTGGTTAATATTTTCTGTTGTTTGATTAGCAATTCTTAAACTTTATCTGGTCAATATCATCACTATTTAAGCCATTAAGTTTTTGTGTTATTAATTATTAATTTATAAAATGCTACTGAATATGTATTTATTTTTCTCTTAATTGACATTATTGTGTGATATGTCATTATAAATTAGATATCATCTTTCCTCCAAAGGCTTATTAATATACTTCAAATTATTTTCTATATTTCATAGTAGAATTTCGTTCTGAGCTCTGACCCAGATAACTTATTTTGCAATTATTGTCTGGTAACGATTAGCACAGTAGTTTCTGCTTTGTTCTTGTTTTGAAGTATCTATGTTTTTGAATTATTAAGTTCTATAATGTTTTATTTTATTTGTTAGATGATCTTGTTGAGTACAGATTTAAATCCTGTTAATGTATCTTAATGGATGGGGTATTAAGATATATAAGGAGTTTTAAAGTATTTATTCTGAACTTTATTTAATCAATGCCACATTGGATATAAGTTATAATAAATGTAAGAAAATTAAATGCTCTTTTCAAAATTCAAATATTTGTATAAAGTAAAGTATGGATAGATCAAATCTTTGCTGCCTTTTGCAAAATAGGTACTTACTATACTGTACCGGAATAATTGTATATAATCAAGTCTATTTAGTTGCCGAAGTTCCTGGAACAAGTTTTGATACTTTATGATTTTTCAGATATAGTTTTTCCGATATTATCATCGGTAGAGACCGCAATTTCTATGATCTAACTCCTTTTTGTGCTTCAGTCAATTAAGGCTATATCAGGTTTATTATTTCTTATCGTGTGATCTGTAATAATTGAACCATCCCAATATATTGTTTTATTTTCACTAGATAATACCTCTTTGGGAACCTATCGATAATAAAGAACTTGGTCAGTAATCATGTTATGAAGTGAAGCTAAGTTTTGGTGCACAATCTTTGCCAGGTTATTGTGCCTAATTAAGTATTCCTTACCTGCCAACGCATCACATCCCGATGATATATGCTGAATTGATTCAGTTTCATTTTTACATCGGTCACTCATATCTTCTCCACATATACGAGTATATTTCCTATAAGCATTGGTTTACAATACCTGATCCTGAATTGCCAAAATAAATCCTTCTGTTTCGGAAAATAGATACCTTTTTTATGTCAATAAATAGAATCGTCTTTGTTAATTCCCGATTGAGAAATAGAATTGTAAAAGTGACCATGTAGTGCTTTATTTTTCCATCTTTTAATCAATCTCTTCTGGAAGGACACCTTTATGCTCACCTGAAACCACAGGCGGATCTAGGGGAGGAGGAGGGACTTTCGGGCTGAAGGCCCCCCTCCCAAAATGGTAAAATTTAACCATGTTTTACAGAAAAAAATATTAAAAACTATCTCTTGAAGTTTTCTTGTTCGTGTAATTGCATTTAATAGGACTTCAAGGACCACTGAAACACATTTCATATAGGTAGTTAATTTATTTCTTTTTTTTCTAATTAATTATCGTTATATATATATATAAAAAAAATCTTTCGGGCTGAAGCCGCCCCTCCCCCAAAATTAAATCCTTGATCCGCTAGTGACTAAAACAAAGTTTCAGGCTGTGTAGCCATTGTTCAATGACCTTATTGCTGACGATATAAGAGAGTTACATTATAGAAAAGAACATCTTAGATTATATTATTCTTCTCTGCAACTTTTTAATAAACAGACAAGCCCTCTTCCTTCTTTCTTCCGATGCAAGTACATCCTCTCAACTGAATATTTTGAAATGAAATAAAGATCTATTTTATTATTCTGTGACTGTTGTCCCTTTAGAACAAAGGCATGATGTTTAAAGATATTTAAATTTCGTTCAAAATGAAGGAAATTTCATCGAAATCAAAGCAGTATTAGTAGAGATATCGCGATTTTTTAATATTTTTTGGTTTATTATTTACACAATCAACCATTGTGATCGACCAAAAAATTCAAAAACTTAACCCACTTTCAATGAAACTTGGATAAAGTCTTCTTCTTGATGCCCTTTAAATTTATCTATATAATACAC